GCTCAGTGATGGAGAAATATTTCAAAAGATTAGTAGCTTCTTTTATATGTTTCTTGATTTTTTTGTGAAGTCTTCGTACATTAATTTATGTTCACTTGTTTCATTTCTCCATCACAAAGTACCAACTTTCCTCATTTTAACAGATAATGTTTCAAAAAAAATTTTCGGGGGCAACCCCGTGAACCCCCACCCCTTCAACTCCGGGACCCCTCTAATTTGAAGGGCTGGCTCCGCCCCTGAATGTGGGATTACATAAATGGTCGTTGCGAAGATTTGACCAATGAGACTTTCGACATATTATTTTGATGGAAATTGAATGAAAATGAGTACAAGGTTTTCTTTCACATTGTCAAAGATTTGTTAACTATTCAAATGGAAATCCGTATCAGTCCTCAAGGGGTACTTTCGTAATTTTACAAGGGACCAAACTCTTTTAAGAGAAGTACCTGTACCACAAAATGAGCCCAAAGCAAGGTTTTGAAATGAAGTAGAGGGCTTTTAATGTAGGACATACTTTCAAACAACTTTTTGAATTCGGTTCAATTAACGACTAAACAAAAGAACAATGATTGCTCTCAATGCAAATTAGCATCTCGCTTTTGATAGACATATTTCAAATCAAATATATGTTTAATGAGTATAGAAAGGATTCATGAACTAGTGATGTCTATTTCATTGTTGAGACGACTGAAGATACAACGCTGAGGAACGAGACCACAAACACAGATTGATTAGCCTGCTGCAGTTATTCTTTGTCCGGTTGGTGCTACTGCTTATTCTCAAGCTAATGAATTGATGCTACATTATTTCTTTAATTATCGTTATTCACTTATTTATGTCATGTCGGGTTTTTCTTTCCAACTTTTGAATTACTTGAACATTGTTGTGGTCATGATTGTTTTTGGATGTGAAATTTTAATGAACAAAAACGAGAGTAAGAATTCTTCTATTTATTTTTTATCTCAATTCCAGTTCGCTTAAATGAATGAACTGTTAATCAAGAATTGAAAAAGAATAACATGGAATTGAGTGTGTTTAGGGAATTGGTCTATCTAATCAAGAATTTATCTCTAATCAGATTACTTAAGAAATTATTAAAAATATACCCGACGTCTATTTTTCTAAAAAATTCAGGCTACCAGCATGATCCCACTATGTTATGAAATGGATAATTGGCGCAAAACGTCCATACCTTTCATTTTTTTGGCTCAGAATGTCCCTACCTTTCACATTTTTGGCGCAAAATGTCATTTTGACCAATTTTTAACATAAAATGACTAATACACCCTCCTATATAAATAAAAAAAAAAAAAGAAAAGAATAGAAAAATCAAGAATAAATTGTAATCTTACTCCTAAACTTTCTAAAAAATGCAAATCAACCCAAAACTTATAAAAATATTAAAAAGAATAAAAAAAATTTCTCTTGCCCCTTTTCAGCCAAATACATGAGCTCATTTTCTAGCGACTTCTGGCCGCCCAAACCCTCGGATATTGGTCCCAAAATGTTCTCATCATTACCCTCTATAACTACATACTAAGAAATCCTCATAACTCATTGTAATTTGGCCGGAAATAAAATTCAAAAATTGCAGCCTGAAAATCGGTCAAACACCCACAACGCGCCGTCTGGCCACCCAACCGGCCGGAATCCACCACTGGTCGACTCCCCTCATCAAGGCGAAGCTACCTGTAAACAATTTTCTCCAACAAGCAACCAACAACCACCAATTTCAAAGTAAAGACAGTCCAGTCGCGAGTTCGCACTAGCGAACATTTCAGACCAAAATTGAAGATGATTGGAGCCAAATTGAAGGGGACCCATGGCTGGGCTAGGTTCACCGGGTGATGGAGCACCCAGCC